GGTTTGGACAAGGTTAAGGATTCCCTAGCTTTATTGAAGCTATTACTGGTTAAGGATTCTAACTTTATTGGCAAGCTAAGAGCTCGTTACCTTACATCAGATCATTTGAAAGATTTTTATTGTTATGAGGACATACAGTAGGGAAACAGGATGAAGTTGGAGCCATCTGTGGGCCAGCATTTTCATTTGATCATTGAGTTATCGCGTTGACATCATTTTGCTGTACGTATGGTGTTACATACTCGATTCATCATGGTATGTATGATCTCAGATGGAGTGATGTTCTGGAGAAGGTACTGCCCAGAGTAAGTTGCTGCTTTCTGCCCGTTTTTCTTGGTGGCATAAAGCTTGTTTCACGCTGTCATCGATGTGGACCCAAGTGTGGTATTTTGACAATATTGGCCTTGTACATATACAGTAAAGGCCACCCACAGCCCTCTATGTTGAAGGCTCTGCTGAAATGACAGAATCTATCCGGGATGGGTCCAGGCGAGAGATGAGACGTCTTGCTCTGTTCATTTACTCTGTCAAGCAGTCGGGCAGATGAGAGGGGGGGGGCAGGCCAAACCAGAAAAGTGGAGATACTCAAGGTGTGAGCGTACTGTGCCTCGACGGATTCTTGCAACCCCTACTGTCAAGCAGGTGCGAGATACGGGACGATGTAGCTGTAGCTTCCTGGCTGCCTTGTTTGCAAGATTTACACATGGTTCTTCATGGGTAGTTTGGAATGTCAAATTTTCACCCAAGGTATCAACTTCTTCTTCAGGTGCAACAAGGTCCATTCATCCTTACTACTGCACCAGCATTACCATCATGGTGCCTAGAGGCGATCATCATTTGCGTTTTCTCAGGTTGCAAATGTTACTTGCCATCTTTTCCCCAAGCTATATAGCTCTCAGCTGGTGATTGATGTAGCTTAGAGCAGCTGGATGTCTTCTCTTGGATAAGTGAAAAGTCAGTGTTCAGTCGTCTGCTTATGCATGTGGATTTGGGAGGAGAGGAAGAAGGTCGTTGAAGTAAGACATTACATAACAGTGGACCCAGCAGCTTCCTTGTGGAACGCTTGCCCCAATAGGATGCCTTGCAGATTCCGTTCCATTGAGGATACAATTAGAGATTCTACATGAAGGTAATCACTGAGGTGGACTTAGCGTAGAGCCTGCAATTCCAGTGCTTGAAGTTTTGCCTTAAGAGGCTGGTGCCACACCCGGTCGAGAAAGCGCCAGCTCAATGTCCAGTGCTACCACAACAGCTGACTTTGGATTCATCCCAGTGATGGTGCACTTAGTGGAGTGGTTTAGCAACAGATAGCAAGCAGAGTAACCCTTTCCTTGAAAGCCGTATTGACGATCACAAAGTTGTGAGTGGTAGTCAAAAAAAAATCTGTCATTTGCCTTGAGATAATTGTCTCAAGGTTTTACCAGTGATTTGACAGGAGTTGACCAACTGGTCTGTAGTTGCTGATTTCTGCTCCTGCTCTTCTTTTTTGTGAAAAGGGGACTACGTTTGCTATTTCCATGGGAGAGGGCCATTTACACTGTATAGGCAGTGCTGAAAGATGCGAGTTAGAGGTTTAGAGGGTGCTGCTAGTGGTCTGCACATCTTCTCAACAATCTTTGGGCTCAAATTGTCTGGGCCAGAGCCTTTTCTTGGTCAAGTGATTTAAGAAGGAAATGCCACCTCCTCCTGCTTACTTGTCACCATTTGACCAGTTTTGACACAGTTTCTTGCCAGCTTAGCCAATGGAGGGTCCCCTTGCTGGATCAGGATCTTGCATTTTTGGTAGCAAAGTGGTATTCACGCAAAGAGGTCCGCCTTCTCGTGCTACTTGTAGAGGTTGGTCCACCATCCTGTCGATTAGAGGTTGGAATAAGTTTCATCAGGGCAGATAACCTTTGGTCTGATTCCTTGACCTGGGAACCACCAGGTTTTGGAGGCCTACCCTACGGATGCTAACTTTTTTTAGTGTCCACCTCCATTTAGCAATGGCCCAATTTTCGAACATACCCATATGCCTACAGGCTTGCATGTGAAAGTCCTTTTGGTTTTTTATAGGTTCGGTAGCGTTGTTCTTATACCTCGCCACATGATTTGTACTTAGCTGTAGCAGCCTCTCTACAAAACGAAAGCCCAAACCTAGGCTGATTGGTAGGGCTTTGTCACATATTTGCCCGGTTGAGGGAAATGTTTTCTTGTTGCAGATTAAGGATGTTGTCCCAGTGAAGGCTTTCACTTGGTTGTCAACATCCCCCCTCTCATTCTCTCTCTCTTTCTCTCTCTTTCTCTTCTCTTTCTCTCTCTATCTTTCTCTCTCTTTCTTTTCTCTCTCTCCCTTTTTTCTCTCTTCTCTTTCTCTTTCTCTCTCTTCTTTCTCTCTCTCTCTTTCTCTCTCTTTCTTCTCTCTCTCTTTCTCTCTCTCTCTTTCGCTCTCGCTGCTTTCTCTCTCTCCTCTTTCTCTCTCTCTCTGTCTCTATCTATCTTTTCTACTCTTCTTTCTCTCTCTCTTTCTCTCTCTCTCTCTTTTCTGCTCTTTCTCTCTCTCTTTCTCTCTTTCTCTCTCTCTCTCTCTCTTTCATCTCTCATTCTCTCTCTCTCTTTCTCCTCCTCTTTCTATCTCTTTCTCTCATCTTTCTCTCTTTCTTTTTTTCTCTTTCTTTCTTCTCTTTTTCTTCTTTTTCTCTTTTTCTCTTTTTCTCTTTCTCTCTTTCTCTCTTTTTCTCTTTTTCCCCCTTCTTTTTCTCTTTATCCTCTTTCTCTCTTTCTCCTTTCTCTCTTTCTCTCTTTCTCTCTCTCTCTCTCTTCTCTCTCTACTCTCTTACTCTCTACTCCTTCTTCTCTTTTCCTCTCTCTTTCTCTCTTTCGTTCTCTCCTTCTTCTTCTTCTTATTTTTATCAAAGGGTTTGACAAGGTTAAGGATCCCTAGCTTTTTTGACAAGCTATTTACCAGGTAAGGATTTCCTAAATTTATTGGAAGCTAAGAGCTGTTACCTTTCAGCTCATTTTGAAAGCATTTTTTTTTATTGTTATGAGACATACTGGAGAGAGTTCCGGGGATCAATGCCCCCGGGCTCCGGTCTGTGCCAGGCCCCGCCTGGTGGAATCAGTAGACTGATAAACCAGGCTGTTTCTGCTGGCTGCACGCAAAACAATGTACGAGCCAACAGACCCGGGCTGGTAGGAACCGTCTCACTTTTGGTGTTGGTCCAGGTGCCAGCTTGAAGGACTGCCAGGGGTCTGTTTGGTTATCCCCTTATGTATGCTGGGAGGCAGTTGAAACAGTCTCGGGCCCCTGACACTTTTTGTATGATCTCTTAAACGTGGCTAGTGACACCCCTGCTTTTCATTTGGGGGATGTTTGCTCGTCTGCCAAGTTCTTTTGCTTTCGTAGAGAGTGATTTTCGTGTGCATAGTTCGGTTACTAGTCCCTCTAGGATTTTCCAAGTGTATATAATCATGTATTCTCCCGCCTGCATTCTCCAGGGAATACAGGTTTAGAGAACCTCAAGCGCTCCCAGTAATTGAGGTGTTTTATCTCCGTTATGCGCGCCGTGAAGGTTCTCTGTACATTTTCTAGGTCAGCAATTTCACCTGCCTTGAAAGGTGCTGTTAGTGTGCAGCAATATTCCAGCCTAGATAGAACAAGTGACCTGAAGAGTGTCATCATGGGCTTGGCCTCTCTAGTTTTGAAGGTTCTCATTATCCATCCTGTCATTTTTCTAGCAGATGCGATTGATACAATGTTATGGTCCTTGAAGGTGAGATCCTTTCCAAAATCTTAAGAATATTTCTCTGAGTGTTTTAAAAGAAAAAAAATTGTGATCAATACTGACCAAGATATAGAGGTTTGAAGTTGACAGAGAGTGAACCACTTACGGCAACGTCGGCAACTGCCCCTCACTCTAATATTATTTTTACTTTTATTCTATTTTTTCTTTACTCTCCTAATTTATTTTTTCAAGTAACTTTTGTGGCTTGTGAGACCAATATACATGTAATGCATAATGTATATATATCTACTTGTTGTATGCAACACGATAACTGCACAAATATTGTTGTTATATTCTTTACAAAACTTGTTTACACAAACTCACGTTGCCTTCCCCACCACCCATGATGCCTTCCCCACCACCCACGATGCCTTCCCCACCACCCACCCTGCCTTCCCCACACCCACGATGCCTTCCCCACACCCACAATGTCTTCCTAACCACCCATGCTGGAAATAAGTCACTTTGTCTAAATTTTTTGGGATATCTTAAGTTCTCTACACATGCTGCTATATATGATAAACTTTGTAACTATTCCTGTTTACCTGAACAAACTTACATACTGTCTTCCCAACCCCTTTTCCCACAATTTTCATCTATCCTGTTGTCATTGTTGGATTTGTATGGGTTTGTTACTCAGTCAAAAAACTAATTTTCTTCCTCACTTTTACCATCATTCAACCTCTTCGCAGTGTTTAGGAATTTTTTTTATTTTTCCCCTGTCTTCTGAAAGATCTTGTCTAAACTCTATATCCTTATAACCCTCCAGTTCCTTGATGATGATTGCCTTTTTCTAAAATTTCATCCTTATGCTTAATCTGTGTAAATGTCATTTCCAGTGGCATGGCTTGTCTTTCTCATAGTTTCCAATACATCTGTATGCCGCAATATGTTCTTAAAAGCTGAAATCCACACTGCATTTTGTCATCTCATTTATGAGTTGTTCTTCCTCTTTGATTCTGTCTGAGAGCTTATTTCCTTGTCAACAACGTCAAAAACAACTAGGCTTCAAATTGGTCTCAGTCGGGCAAATTTACAAATGCAAAACTCCTGCATACTGTGAGGAGGAATACATTACATCAACTTGTTGATTGTTTGGTATCTATGGATTTCCTTCACTAATGTATTGTATTATAATAATTTTTAGATTTTAATTTTTTTTAATTTGTCATAAAAAAGGAAGTTAAAAAATTTATGTAGGCACTTCATTAAATGTTTGATCTCATTATCTAGCATCACTGGAGGAAAGGCTGTTGCCAAGGAGCTCACTGCCAGTCTGGGAATGATTGAAGAAGTGACCCATTTTTTATGGGTGTTCGAATCTCATGCACTCATCTCTCTCAACTTCTTAAGAAGTCTGAAGGTCATTGGTGGCAAGAAACTTTATAATGGCAGGTGAGTATTTAGTTCTAGTTGTAATTGTTTGTCCTTGGTGTTGATAACTCCAGAAAAGGAGGCAGATATGATAGAGAAACCTACAGGTAGTCCTATTTGAACATATTCTAGTGTTGCATATTTTTCTGTCTCTAGAGCCAGTTCATAAATACAATGTGGAAAAAGACACTTATGTACAGCTCAGGACATTTATTAAAGGAAATGTTTTGCCACGAGTGGCTTCTTCAGTCCTAATACAGAGATAACTAAGGAAACGAGTATATACAATTCTCTGTATTAGGACTGAAGAAGCCACTCGTGGCAAAACATTTCCTTTTAACAAATGTCTCCGAACACTGTACGTAAGTCGTCTTTTTCCACTTCTTGTCGGCCATCACATCACCCAAACCATTTCTCCACATTCATGTATGTTTATTCTCAAACATGAAGTACTGTAGGTTCATTTACTTATACTATCTTATCACGTTCCAGGAAATCCAAAAATGATCACAAAAATAATAATACATTTTTTTAGAGATTAATTATAGTTTTACATACACACAACAAATATAGTGTTCAATTATTTTTTATTATCTCACCGGCCGATTCCCACCAAGGCAGGGTGGTCCCGAAAAAGAAAAACTGTCACCATCATTCACTCCATCACTGTCTTGCCAGAGGGTGCTTTACACTACAGGTTTTTTAAACTGCACATTAACACCCCTCCTTCAGAGTGCAGGCACTGTACTTCCCATTCCAGGAATCAGGTCCGGGCTGCCGGTTTCCCTGAATCCTTCTAAAATGTTACTTTGCTCACACTCCAAATCAGCACGTCAAAGTATTAAAAACTTTTGTCTCCATTCACTCCTATCAAAAACACGCTCACGCCTGCCTGGCTGGAAGACCAAGCCCATCGGCACACAAAGCCTCCCTTTACACCCCCTCCTTCCTAACCCTTCTAGGGCTACGACCCCTCCCCGCTTCCTTCCTTCCATACTGAACTGATACACTCTTGAAGTCCATTTTTTTTTCTGTTCGCTCCATTCTCTTACATGTACACGATCCACCTCAACACCGTCCTCAGCCCTTCTGGACAACAGTTTTGGTACATCCCGCACCTCCTCCTAACTTCCAAACTACGAATTCTCTGCATTAGTATTCTAACCACACATTGCCCTCGAAATGACATCTCCCATGCCTCAGACCTTCTCCTCGCTGGCTGCAACATTCATCACCCACCGCGTTTCACACCCATATAAGAGCGTTGGTTATAAAAAACTATATCTCTTACATTCCCCTCTTTGCCTACCAAGGACCAAGTTCTTGGGTCTCCACAGACTCCTAAGTGCACCACTCACTCTTTTCCCTCAATCATTTCTATGATTCACTCATCTTTCTAGACCAATCCAGTGACTCGTCCCACTCCCAAATATTGAATATCGTTTCACCTCCTCCCATACTCTCTCCCTCCAATATGAGTATCAATCTTTAATCACATAATCTTTTGTGTTATCTTCTTAACCTTACTCTTTCCTGTATTCACACTTTATTTTCTTCTTTTGCAACACCTACCAAATATTAATCCACCAATCTCTGCAATTCTCTTCATGAATCTCCCAAGAGCACAGTTGTCATCAGGGCAAAAAAGAGCAGCTGTGACAACTCCCACTTGTGTGTGATTCTTTATCTTTTAACTCCCGCCCTCTTGCCAAGACCCACGCATATATTCTCTTACAAACCCATCTATAAAATATATTAAAAACAACCACGGTGACATACACAATTCCTTGTCTAAGGCCTACTCTTTTACTGGGAAAATTTTTCCTCTTTCCTACATACTCTAACTTGAGCCTCACTATCCTCGTAAAAACTCTTCACTGCTTCACAGTATACCTACCTCCTACACCATACACTTGCAACATCTGCCACATTGCCCCCCTATCCACCTGGTCATACGCCTTTTCCAAATCCATAAATGCCACCAAAGACCTCTTAGCCTTATTCTAAATACTGGTTTCACTTATATGTTTCACTGTTAAACACCTGGTCAACACACCCTACCTTTCCTAAAGCCTCCTTGTGCATCTGCTATCCTATTTCCGTCTTACTCTTAATTTTTTCAAATTATAACTCTACATACCCACTTTACCAAGATACACTCAAAGCAGACTTTTTCCCACTATAATTTTTGCACTCTCTTTTATCCCCTTTGCCTTTATACAAAGGAAACTATGCATGCCTCTATGCCAATCCATAGGTACCTTACCCTATTCCATAATTTATTAAATAATTGCACATCCACTCCAAAAACTATATCCCCACCTGTTTTTAACATTTCTATCTTTATCCCATCAACCAGGCTGCCTTTTACCCCCTTTCATTTTACCTACTGCCTCACGAACTTCCCCACATCACAACTGGCTCTTTCCTCACTCTCTACAAGATGTTATTCTCCTTGCCCATATACACGAAATCACCAGCTTCCTTATCTTCATCAACATTCTATTATGTAATAATAAATTTAAATATTAAAAACATAGAAAAATAACATTTTACTTACTTTATTGGAAGATTGGTGATGGGCTTATGGAAGATAGCAGGAGGAGGAGTGAGGGAAGTTGGGGTTAGTGTCTGGAAGGCGAAATTCCCCCTCATAAGGACTTTAGGTATCAAAGCCCTCTCTGGGGTTACTATGCGTCTCTGTCTTTTTAAAAGCCACTAGGGACCGCTTTGAGAGTCACGGGACCCCTGTCTCAACAAAATAACTCTATCCACAGATCCCTTGTTTTTTTTCTGGCAACTAGTTTTAAGATTTTCCCTAAATTGGGACACTGGTTCTGTCACTGAACATGTTGCAAAGATGCTTGTTTCACTTGATCAGGGTGCTTACTTCTCCACAACATTGGACATATTCCATTCTGTATTACAGTGGACCCCCGCATAACGATGGATAGCATAGCGATTTTTCCGCACATAAACGATTATTTTATCGTGAATAAAATTTGTGCCCCGCCATACCGATTAAAAAACCCGCCATTCGATTTTCGTCAGAACGCGGTCCAATGTGCCCTCAGCCAGCCTCACATGTGACGCTCTCGTTACCATTGTTTTACCAGCAGACTCCGCCGGTAACATCAAGCTTACACTCGGATATTTCGTATTATTACAGTATTTTCGGTGCTGTTTCTGGAAAATAAGTGCATGGCCCCAACATGAAAAGCTGCAGTGCCAACCCTTACACCTCAAAGGGTAAGACATTTCTATAGAGATGAGAAAGAAGATAATTGATAAGTATGAAAGTGGAGTGCGATAGCGACCTAGGCAAGCTGTTCAGAAACCCAATCAACCCGCTACTATTGTGGGCACCAGAAAAGACTATCAAGGGAAGCTGTTCTTGCCAAAGGTTCAACTGGTTTTCGAATCTAAGATCGCAATTGAGGAAGATGTTGAGAGACTCTTATTGGTGTGGATAAAATGAAAAACAGATTAGCAGGAGATACGCGTCTCTCAGCGATCATCTGGTTAAGGGCTAGGAAAGTTGCACATGACGTAGTTAATTAAAAAAATGCCTGGAAACTTGTGATTGAGTGAGTGAATTTAAGGTCCAGCCTAAAGGTTGTTTGAGAGAATTTAAGAAGCGATAGTGGCATCCTAGGTGTTGTTAAGGCATGGTGAACGGCTGCCGTTCGGGACCCACAAAGCGGCCTGAAACAATATGTGCAGGAATTCATAAGGAGTAACTTAGATAGAAACGGAAGGACTGAACCTGTACAAGTGTTTAATTGTGATGTAACAGGCCTGTTCGGAAGAAAAGCCAAGAAGGCCCTCATTACTCAAGGAGGAAAAGGCACTCCCAGGCATAAGCCTAATGATATCAGGTTACTTTGTTGATGTGTGCCATTGTAATGGTGATTGCAAAGTGAAGCCTTTATTAGTGGTATCTACTCTGAAACTCCAGAGCGTTCGGCAAAAGATTGTCCTCAAGGATAATTTTGTGTGTTGCTTGTGGAGGGCAAACTGGTAAGGCATGGGTCACTAGGAATTTTTCTATAATGGTTACACATTGCATTATGACCCCCAATGTGAAAAATTACCTAAACTGAAAAGAAATTAGAATTAAGTGCCTCCTGGTGTTAGACTATGCCCCTGGTCATCTAACAGACGTTGTCAGAGGCGACTTTTATGGGGACATGAGCTTCATTAAGGTGAAGTTTTTGTCCTCCTAATACCACTCTCTCCTGCAGCCCATGGACCAGCAGGTTTATTTCCAACTTCAAGACAAACTGTACACAAATGCTCTGTTTGAAAGTGCTTTGTAATTGAACCTCAGAAACTCAAACTGACTCTAGAGAGTTTTGGAGAGATCACTTTAACATCCTAATTGTGTAAACCTTATAGGTAAGGCTTGGGAGGCAGTGGACAAAGAGGACCTTGAACTCTGCTTGGAAGAAACTGTGGCAAGAATGTTGTAGACAAAAAGGGGATTTTGAAGGGTTTGAGGCTAACCCTGAGAATCCTGTGCCAGTTGAGGAATCCCATTGTGGCATTGGGAAAGTCCTTGGGGTTGGAGGTGAGTTGGTGGTGGCATGTGTGAAGGTTGGTGGAGGAGGACAATGAAGAAATAAACCATGATGAGCTTGCTAGATCAACTTCAAATACAGCAAGAGCCACACCTGAGGAAATTGCTTCGGAGGAGGGGAGAGGAGAAATTGAAGAGTTGGCCTACTTTCAAAGATTAAGGAAATTCTGTGCTAAGTGGCCTGAAGTGCAAACCCTTCATGGATGAAAAATCACCCTCACACAAGCTATTGCAAGCCGTTGTGGTGATTATTCTACTGACAATGTTGTTGTGAAACACTGTTAGGCCAAGTCATAAAGGAGAACGAGAGGTACAGGCCATATGGACAGATATCTTGTGCGAAAGAAGTCCAGTGGGACTCTGAAGCTGCGTATAGTGGCATTAAAAGAAGAAGGGAAGTAACCCCAGAAAAGGACCCCCCTTTAACTTACTACTCAAGTCC